TTTTGGACATGTGACCTAGATTCTTTCATTTTATTAATACTGTAATATGTAAAAGTTGTTAACTCATAAGCATAAAACAATCAAAAGCTACTACTACTATTTGCAATGTAAGACGAACAACAACATTGGTTTATCGAAAGAAACTTCATTTTATTTTATAATTTTATAAAATAAAAAGAGAAATATGTGTTCTAAAACAATCGAGACTTTTAAACTTCGTTTTAAAATTCTGAAATATTGTTGTGACATATGAATATATCTGAATAAGCAAATAAATGACTTGTTAATGTAAAATTATAATGATAATGATAAAGATTTTTTTCATCACTTACCATTTTCAGGATTATCGATCTTCGATTTCAAGTAATTTAACAGATTATTGTTATGATTCAATTAAATTTTTCGAGACTAATTATTAAAAAAACATTCTATTACTATTAATACTTTACCAATGAGCCAAATTTGTACACCTTTATATCAATTAGATAATCACAAAAATATATATTTACCATGGGGTCATTGTCAAAAAGACCTAATATTGGAATTTTACTTTTTAATATTATTTATCAGACAGGGTTGGCCATGGTACTGGTCCATTGAGTCCATTGGTGTAATATTTTAACTATTTACTGTTTTATTAATGCCAATGAACCATACCAAAACTCATTGGTATCAATGGATCAGTCTGTTTCCAATCCTATTAATTGACGAGCGACAAAATCCTTCATGTATCCTATTCCCTATAAAATAAATAAAATTCTTTTAATTAATTAGTTTTTAATTAGAAATGATATATGTTGACAATACTTACTGTAGTTAATATAAGTGGACCCAATTTCTCTATAATTAATATTTAAAAAATCATATTAAATCCCTTTTTCAACAATTATTATAACTTTTCTTGAGTTTCGAGGCGTTTATTAAATAGATTTTTAATTAAGAAATAATGATGATGATGATGATGATGATGATGACAATAAACAACAACAACAATGATAATAACAATAATAAAGGATATTATAAATTGATCGAGTAATGTCATTAAATGTCCCGAGCTGCCTATTGATCCATACAGCACCACTTTTTTATCTTAGAGAGAAGTAGCTAAAGACTAGTGCCGTAATCCAAAAAAAAGAAAAAGTATGATTGCAAAGGTAATTGCGACCACTTTTTATATGCCGTAAATACAATTACTACCATAATCATAATTTACAGCACTAGTCTTTAGAAGGTGCAATCTTTTTAAAAAGAAATTTTTTTTAAAAAAAAACTATATAAAAATTTTTAAGTAGTGTCGTGGTATTTTAAATAGAAATGACACTTTGTTTTTTGAATAATAAAGGAAATTCCTAATAAAACATTTCTTTATTAATCATTATATATATAAGGGAGAGGGATATTATTTTTAATTTTCTTTTTTGGTTAATGTAACAAAGGCTTATTTATAGTCGAACTTGTTTTTAAGCCAAAGCTTTTGCTTATTAGTAAGTTATTATTCCATTAGTCATATATCAACACTTCCATCTAATCTATTTATTGACAAACCTAGAATATTACCGACCAGAACGAATATTTCTAAAATAATCAACTACGTAATGTAATTTAAAAATAATGAGATGACAAACAATAGCGGGCTTGAATTTGATTGATCGATCGGCAAGTTTTAGAAAAATTTTTGATAATCTGACTTTAATCCTTTTTCTGGTTCATAAAGCATATACCAATAGAAAGATTATCGCCAAGGATCTTTTGACGAAACTGGAGGAATTGATTCAGCCAATCAAATCAAATGCTCGTGATACTTGCTGATCACCAAATAATAAATTTTAGTGATGTGACGGACGATTGGTTCCTATACAACATATATTGATGTATTTTTAATATTTCAGCCAATATATTAATATTAATATTATGTATCAACTTTGGGACAAAGCGTAGTGATGGGAGAATTGCCGATCATATGAAATTACTCAAAGTACACTTTTTGAGAATCTAAGGTTTTAATAATTTTATTGATTTTTGCCTGTTTGTGTTATGCATGGCATTTTATCATCATAACCTGATTGTTATCATCATCGTCATTATTAACAAAAGAAACCTTGGTCAATTGAATTAATCTAAGCTGAAAAAAAAGCAAATGAGAAATTTAAGATTATAAAAATTTCAAGAAGTTTTGGTTGTTAATACTGGTATTAATGATACATGCATATTCTAATTCAAACCACCCTACAGTTTGTGTGATGTTACCGATTTGAAACCTTTTCTTTGGTTACCAACAAAATTTCTTGAAATTAATTTTTCGTATCTCGATCTAAAGACTTCTTATTTCTGCGCCACATGCTCGAATTTCAAAAATTGCGATTTCGTGATTCGTTCAAAAATGCAATAATAATAAAAGGTCTTTACGTGATTTTGGGTTAAAAAAATTATTTTCCTTCCTGCCAAATTTAGTAATGATAAACGAAAACTAGTCTAAATCTAGCAATAATCCTAGCGCTCAAATTCCTCGTGAGCATAGTAAAGTACATGTTTTAAAAAAGAATAGAACTCTACAACAAATAATTTTTTTGAGAAAATCTCTCTATTACATTAAAATTATAGACCTATTACATCAACTAATAGAGCTATTTTTTTAAAAGGTAGGACAGAAAATGATTTCTATACTTTTAAAATTCGCACAGAATTTAGGAGCTCTTTAGACCAAGTCAACTATATCACTAACCCCGGTCCTGAAAATCGCAATTCCATTTAAAAGGTTACTTGTTTCAACTAATGACCTAACATAAACTAAAATTGTACACATTATCATCAATATTAGATTATCATTAAATTTTTGATTGAATTGTTCCCCAATCAATTTACTCTTACAATAACATTTTCAAAAATTACACAGCCCCAAAAACAATAGTAAAATAACTAATTGTGAAAATAACATACGTGAATTTGATTGGTTAATTTTTTAAACACTTTCTTTACGTAACCTAATTGATTGTTGATTGGTAATAAATAGCTAAGAAAGATAACCAACAATTAATAGATTACATAAAATTGTAAGATAAATTGGTTAAGAAAGGTAACCAACAATTAATGGATATGTAAGATCGATCGTAAGGTTAAGAAAGATAACTAACTATTAATAGATTGATCATAAGGTCAAGAAAGATAATCAACAATTAATTAATGAAACATCACAATCACGTGGATCGTGTAAGATTGTAAGATAAAAAAGATAACCATACATGTAACATATAACATCGTAAGATAAAACCGTTCAAGGAATTGAACCAAGCACAAGAAGGTCACTGTATAGTCGCGTACAATGATAATCTGTCAAACAAACAACCATTACTGTCAGAAATCAAAGGTTTTCTTTTTTATTATAAATAAACCAATATTTGTTAAACAAATTTTGAGGGAGCACGGCTTAATTTTTTTTTTTTATGCGATTAAATTCATAGAACATTGAAATCCTTTTTTTTTCAAGAAATAATTGCAATATTACATAATAAATATTGCTGAATGTATCTTTGATTACACCGATTTTATTGCGAGTTTTTACGAATCACGAAATCTCTTTTTGTGCGTAATGCAGCAATGGGAGGTCTTTAGACCGAGCCAACCATACTAACAAACAATTATTACATAAAAATCCTGATCGGTGACACATAGTGAAACGGGGAATTACAAGGTGTAACGCTACACTTATTATTATAGAAATTCAATCAATCTTAAAATAGTCCGAATTATAGTATAAAAGGGCTGGGTTCGTGAGACAGAGCTTCGATGTTCTCTATAAAAAATTTTGCATATTAAATTCATTGTTTCATAAAAAATGAAGTTCGTTGAACTTATTTCAGACCCTATTACGTTGAGAGCTCAAAATCAACAAATATTTGAACATGCTGAATTACCTGTGACGAAAGATGAACTATCAGTGACATTACGACTTAAACTTCATTGTTATAATTTTCCATATGCAACTATCTTTCACAAAGGTATGCTTTTTGGAAGAAAGGTTTTGGTCAGCAAATTATTGGTTAAAATTGATCTTTTTAGAATCTTTTGTCTAACTGGTGCTTTTTCGGCTTCCAATAAAATATAGGTACTGGAGATTCAATTTGCACACCTGGTTTTTGGCTAAAAGAAGATAAACTTCTTGCTCGCTTCACAAGCGACTGTGATGATAGTGCAGGAACTGGCGCACTCGCTCCCGGACTTTTGTTAAACAAATGGTACCATCTAACTTATACACTTTCTAATACTAAAAAAAGTTTAGACCTTTACATAGACGGTCAGTGGACCTGGCACTATAGCTTACAGGACGTTAAAAAGCAAAATGTTAAGTTCAATGATGGACCGCTATATATTGGACGTGCTTTTTCTTATAGTGGGATTAACGGAGAAATCAGGTATGATTTATCATAGTAATGAAGTTAATCTAAATCACAAAAATATTAAATGATCATTTTATCAAATAGCAATTTTCGTTATTTTGACTGGTGCTTATCTGCTGAAGAAGCGAAGGAAGATTTTCTCGTAAGATAATTTAGAATTTCGTATCGTGAACTTTTGCAGCTTGCTCGTTATGACTATTTTGTTTTTTTTTAAATAATGAATTTCAGAAAAGGCCAATTCTAAACGGATCAAAAATTGCTCTTGTTCATGTGTCTACTAGAAAATATTTGACTACTAGAAGGATCAAATACTCGTGTCAGCAATATATGGTATTTATTATTATTATTTGTTTATACTAGAGAAACTTAAAATTCTAAACTTTATTTATAAAATTTATAAAGGCTATTTGTAATGGTCAGAAAGTAGATTTGGAAAATGATGTTTGGACTATTATTGGAGCCAGTGAAACAGGCAAAAGTACAGGGAATCTTGGAAATCTTGTATACTTTAATACCATTATTGGATTTAAGCATCAAGCGACAGGATGCAATTTACATTCTCATCATAATTCGGAAGGAACTCCAAAATCGAAGCATCAGCAAGGTATTTTTGAGTTAATATATATGTATAATTTGTATATTAAAGTTTACAAGCAAGCATAACAATTAAAATTTTCGATATTTAGTGACCCTCTTTGAGAGTGCAAATCGCGATGATAATTGGCTTATTCGACGTTATAGTCAAAACGCTTCTTATGATGACTCAGGTAGTTTGAATCATGGTGATATCATCAGTCTTTTCCATATCACAACTGGTAAGCCAGCACTTTACAGTCATAACATCTTGTTAGATGATGCAACCCAAGAAGTTTCTTGTCATGGAAATGGAGATGAGGAAAATCATAAGGTACATATAATTTTTCAACTTTTATTTACTTATACATTAAACGAATATTTTTTTTCCACTATAATGTTTTTTAGTGGCGTGTCGAATTAATTGTCTGATACGAAATTGTAATTAGTAAAGAATAACAATTCAACTTGACTCCTAATTTTTTTTTCCACATACCATGTTTATTTATATAAACTCTATTTAAATTATCAAAAATGTTATAATAAACTTTTCTTAGCACGTGAACACTGGTAAAAAATTAATTCATGAAATATAAATTTGCTGTACGTACACAAATTTATATCGCACCAAATTTTATCCAATGTTCATTATATTAAAGAAAAAAGCTATCGAATTCAGTGGCACAGACACTTAGTTGATATGTATCCGTTTGCATTACTTAAAATGACAAAAGAAAAAACATACATTTGTACAAAAAAAAAAAATACAATACTCGTAGCAGGATAAAAGATAAGAATAAAGAAAGTATCAAATAGTAATAATGACGGCAAATTAAGAGATACAGTATAATAATAACAATAGTAAATAATAGTAATAATAATAATATCGGAGAGCTTAGTACCAACTGGGATTTATTTACAAAGAAAAAGAAATAGACTTGGTAAAAACAACTGATTTTTAGTGAATTCATAAAAAGTATGTTATACTATTTGATAAATTTTATTTAAAGTTCTTGGTCGGCTTAGGGTTGTTTGGCTTAGTCGGCTAATTTAAACGAGGGTTTGACTGTAAATATCTATATGAAAGTTTAATCGGTCATATGCCATTAAAAAAATAATAGTATTTTCTTTATACTTTGGTTGACTTTTTAAAATTTTCAGATCAAAGTCAGATCAAGTGTTTGAAGGTAGGTAGTTAGTTACCTTATAAACAATCCTTGTATCAAATAAAGTAGAAATACAAACAACACATTGGTTAATTATTTTAATCAGTGAATGCGTGAACAATTTGGAAATAACTCCTAGTCTTAGATGAGCAATTCGGGAAATCAATGGTATATGAATTCTGATTACATGGCATTAATTTGTAATGAGTTAGGCGCTTTATAAAAAACTTGTAAAGTAGTAGATGGATAAGAAAAAGTATGGAGTATAAGAATGGTTGACGAAATTGCTGAAATTTAGTCAATTGATGAAATTGTACATGACGAAATTCATATTTGTCTCCAAGGATCTTGACGAAATTGATTTAGCCAATCAAATCAGATACTTGTGATACTTGTTTATCACCAAATAATAAATTTTAGTGACGTGACGGACGATTGATTCCTATACATATATTGATCGTTTTATATAGTGCAAACATTTCAGCCAATATTATTAACATCATGCATCAACTTTGGACAAGGATAGTGATGGGAAAATTGCTGGTAATATGTTATTACTATATCAACTGATTTATTTTTTGGACCCTTCTTTCAAACCCTACACACATGTAAACTCATAGGTTGGTCATTTATTTATTTAAACAATTAATTCTTGCGTCCGGCTTAATGAGCTTGCATGTACACTACCTGGACAAAAGTCACGCACACCCTAAAACAAATAATTGCATAAAAACGTACATAATAAATATACAAAAA